AAACGTATTACCAGAAGAAAAAAAAAAAATCCTAAACATAGCAAATATTATCCGTAATTAGCAATTCTAAAGTTACTTTACACTTTATGTTATGAAGCTGGTACTCTCATATTTGATGCACGTGCACGAGTCTCGTATGTTAAAGGTTATAGTCAAGTTTAAAGTAACTTTAAAGTTTCGATGAATCCGAGCCTACGATAATACTTAATCGATATTCATTATTCATTAGAGTGTTGTGTTTGTAGCACATGCGAACGGGGCCCTCAAACAGAATCCCTTTTTCTTATACAATGAAATGATATTTTACATACATATGTATATTGATTTACATTCCGGTTTTTACATTAAAAAATTATTGATTTTTTTCTTCTAATTTGTAGAATTGTTTTTAACCACGTCCCTATGTATTTACCAAATTAATTCAGAAATACGACAATAGTGTAATAAAAATCATCGTCTATTAATAACAATAGGTACATCAATACATTGCCAAGCAACAGATTTTCATTTTCAAAATAATGTACTTAACTTAATAATATAAAGCAGAATCAGTGATGCTTTCACTCGTTGAGAGCAGTTTTTGCCATTTTTATGACCATCTCAACAATCACAAGGAAATATTTCAACAAGATCGCTGCTTAATGTTGATTTCTTGTTATAATACTTTGTGTGAATGGAATCGTTTTATAAACTATATCTTTTTCGTAAACTCTAATTCCTTTCTATTAATAGCAAGTCGAAACTAAATAAAGAGCATTATACTTCCCTCCTATTTAAACATAAATTACATATTTACAATTGCGGTCTCCGTTGGCACTTCAAAACAACGTCACAATTCCTCGACCCCGTTCCACGATTATCGATATAACATGAAAACGAAAATACTTGAGTTTCGTTACACAAGAAATGGCAATTGCGTACTTGAAGGAAGTCGAAAAAAAATTTGTAACGTGAAACTCAATGATACATATATATAAAACTCAATAATTCAAATCTATCGTGAAGTTTTTCACAGCAATACTAATATGTCTTCCCTCCTGTGCATTTGTTATGATGTACTTTCTGTTGGAGCACATCAAGAATTTTGCTTCATGCTCTTTACAAAATTCCATACCGAGGGGAAGTGTTTTTATCCTGGAGACTTTTTTGACATTTTTCGAAAAAAATCGATATTGAAATCTGTGATTGCACCAGCAGTTGCAATTTTCTTTAATTATTAAATATCGGGTTATAATTTACCATCCGGTCAGTTGACACAGAGTTATGGAATTTTGGAATAGGAATGAATATTCGTTTTTTTTTGATATTGCGATATCATCTATACGTCTCGTGATATCTCCATGCGTTTTATAACAAGGATCACTCCAAAGAAACTTTAGTATTAATAATCTATTAAGTTATATGTTTGCAAAGTTGTACATTTTGAATTTTATGTATTATAAACGTTGAAAAACAAAAACGTTGGGAGATAAGTTAAATTATCTATTATTTTTCCTTTTTCATTATATTTCTCTCTCCCTCTTACTAGCAGAGCTTAATTAAAAATTATATGAAAAAAATCAGTTCCGACCATTATAATTTATTGACAAAAGTTTTTGGAGCGATTCTTGTATTTACACGATGAATAAAACAAATACTGTTGCGAATATGTTGTATGATTTTCAATATACTTTTTATCATTAGTTCATACTAATCTTGCCAAGAAAGATGGTCTTTATAATCTAACAGGGTCGTGCGAAATTTATTGCAGTATATTTCTTCGGATTAAAAGAAAAAAATCTCAAATACTTATTCTTTCAACGATATTTTAATTATTTTCATTTAAATAGCACTTTAGTAACTTAGTAGATACGAAATGTGCTACCATTTCAAAATTTAAATTTAAATTCGAAATTCTCTGAAGATCGACTTTGTTCAGATCTTATTTTGTTACATTTGACCGAAATTAAAAAGTAAGCACAAATTAAAGATTAAGATAAATTTTTATATTATTGTTCACATCATTGTCAGGGTTCCATATTTCATGAATTTTATTACCAATTTTCTAAGATAAAATATCAAAATTTACTTTACTACTTCAGTTTGGTAAGTTCTTGAAATTAAATGGCTTGCATTATAATATATTTGTACAATTCGATATTAAATTCAAGTTATAACATAAGCATTTGAGTATCAAGGAGATCCTTGTTTTAAATTTTTCATTAACACTAAACGTACCGGCATTTTACATATACCTATCTTACCATAAGGGGTCATTTTTGACT